CACCCATAAAGACACAAAATGCACATGCTCTGTTTGGAAGCTGAGAAAGAAGCGTGAAAGTAAAAGAAACCAGGTTTTTTACACGAAAGAAATGCTTCAATGAAAAGGGTGTAAGAAAAGTTCTCAACTTGATGATGGTAACAAGCGGATTCAATTAAGCATTTTGCTATTCATTGAAGTTTATATAAACAGGGTTCGTGAAACTCTAAACGAGTTTTCCCTCATTTTCCTTCAGTTTCTATCGAACCAAACGCTAGATAAGAGAGAGAGATGCTTTACCGGCGAAATACCGTTGATGATCGAAGTAACGAGAGAAGCGGCGTGTGCGAAGCGACGAAGAAGAAAACAGAGTGCAATTAGGGTTAGGGTTTTTAAAGGATCCATAATCTGTGGTAGGGATGATCCAGCGCGGTAAGGATGCACCGTGGCTGAGAAGGATGAATGCTGATGAGCGGTCAAAGTTTAACGAAAATATTTATCATTATTCTGGCCTTCGGATGGTGATCGAACGGTCAATATCAGTATTTCCCTTTATTTTGGAATAATTACAAGATAACATATTTTTCACTTCATACCACACGAAATTGCAAAAACATGAGCTTTGGACGGGAAGATTGCAATATTTGGGGAGTTATCCGTATTTAATAGTAACATAATAAGTTTTTTTATTTTATTTTATTTTATTTTATTATGATTGGTTGCACAATAAGAAACAACTCTCTCTCATTCCTTATCACAGTTCACCGGTATACTATGCTACTCAAATTCAGAATTTTTTATTTTCAACAGAAGAAAATTACCACTAAACTATTTATGTCAATTACTAACATAATAAATATCATGTAATCTATTATAATTTAAATTGGCTTAATTCAAAAAATCATCTACTAATTTTTAATTTAATTTCAATTTCATCTATTATCTTTGAATTGTTTCAATTCTGTCTATTATCTTTCACATTTATTTTAATTTCATCTAGCAATTAAAGTTAACAGAAATCTTAAAGAAAATCTTCTTAAACCTTAGTACTCTAACTATGTTTTTTTAATCTTTTAGTCCTTAAATTTATATTCATAGTAAAAATAGTTTTTATTCTTATTTTGCTAAATGTGTTTTTCAGAAAATTATTTTGTAGAGTAGACTGCTTTCAGTCCACCCTGTAAAATTATTTAAATACCCTTAATTCTATTTTTATATTATTTTTATATAAACATTTAAATAATTTTATAAGACAGATTGTACAGAGTCTGTCCTATAAAACAGAGTTACTCTTAAAATTTCTTATTCTGAATTTACTGAATTTCTCTGTTTGAATTATAATCTATCTCTATAAAAAATAATTTATATTTTATTAGGATTTAAGTGTCACTTTTTTAAAACTCAAAGGACTGCTCTTTCTTCACATCTAACGGCAATCTAACGTACTCTTTGTACGGTAAACTAATTTGAAATATTTTTCAAAGTTTCTAGATCATTTAGAAATGAAACAAACTTTTTAGACTAAATTGAAATTAAATTGAAAGTAAGTAGATGATTTTTTGAATTAAGCCAATTTAAATTGTACCAATTCTTTTTCCATTACAAAAGCCCTCATTTTTCTTTACGCCATAGGTCAATTGGTTGTAAGTTGTAACATAGGGTGAGAGATAAAGGAAGAATAAGTGTTCGAAATCTGATTATACATAAAAAGAGAAATATTTTTTAATTAATAATTTAATCAATTACTTTATAAGTTTTCTACACAAAAACACTCATTTTAGCGTGGAAATATTGCTAATTTCTCATTGATTGTAGTATGATTAAATCTTAAATGCAACATAAAAAAAAATTAATTTTCTTAAATTAAAGCAGGCACCAGGGTAATGTGAGGATCACCTAAGAAGAATTAGCTTCGGTTGCAATATTAAATGCACAAACCTCTTTCACGGCATTTTATCTTAAAAATCTACGTGTAAACTTATAATTCTTAATTAATTTTAATTAATTTAAATAAAAAAATTAATTTCAATTAATTTTTATATAATTTTATTAATTTTAATTATGATTTTTTTAATTTATACCAATAAAATTGTAATTAATACATTTTTTACTTATTAAGTCATATAAAAAAATTGATATCAAATTTAATATCAATACTATGAATATTAATTTAATTAATTAAACTTTATTTTTTGGATGTAATTTAATAATTAAAAGTATATTAATTAAATTCTTAAATCTTGTAAATGAAAAGACTTGTAAATAAAAATACAAGTATTAAGAAAATTTTCCCTTATGAACTCTAAGGCCTGTTGAATTCACATTAATTAGATCTCAATGACTTTTGAACATGGAGGGATTAGTAAATATATATATTAATTAAATTCACATGTGCTTTTAAAAAAATATTTTAATTAATATTTTATATATTTTTAAAACAGTAAAAAATTAAAAATACATAAAACCATAACATAATACAACACAGCTCCTAATACACAATACAACACAGCTCCAAAGGGTGCGGAAACTAGCACAAGCAATTACTCTTAAAGGGCAATAAACAAGTATAAGGGGCAAACTTTATGGAAAATTTTTGAAAAAATACTGCACAAAAAATACTATATAAAAATACCAATCACTTTCAATAGGAGTGAAAGAAACTCAATCTTTCTTAAATAAAATTTTAAATTTAAATCTTAATCTTAATCTTATGATCGAAAATATAAATCTTAAGAGAGCTTCTTTTCATTGGGTCTGACATGATTCTGACATGATTCAACTTTAGATTACTCAGGCTCAAAATGATTTCTAGATGCAAGAAGTTAATAAAAAAATACTGTACACAAATTTCAGCCATCACCTTCTCAATGAAAAAGCAAATAATAACATTTATCGGTTCAACGAAAAACAATTATGTTGACAAACCATATTCCCAGGCCATTCAATCATCATTATTCAGGTTACAGCACCAGATCAACCAGCATTATAATCCATATATTGCAACACGAATAATTAAACAGAAACTTAGAAATGACCAACAAGATTAATAATAAAACGAAGATTATTTTCTCTGCAGATTGAGCTACACAATCATCTGAATACAAATTTGATAATAAACCCCCAAAATAAAAGTGTATAAAATAATGAGTCTGACGGAAAAGGAGTCCTGCCCCAACCTTGTTAATATTTGGACAAAAATATTGCCCATTAGTATATATTTGTTTATTAACAACCCCAGGAAGAAGACTTATCCATCTAGTCATTTAGTCCTTTTGAGAATATGTATCAATTGGAAGTTGGTACTTCGGATGTTTGTTGCCTTTGCCTGATTTGTGGTCATAGTACTCAACCACTGCAGCACCAGCCAATGCAGCCAATGTAATCCCTTGGGCATACACCCTGAAATGATACAACAGAGACCAAGTTAGCGTTGAGGCAGAAGATAAACAGTAATCTTCTATGAAGAAAAATTGAACTTCAGAAAAAGCCCGTTGCCCCTTTAGGACAAGAAGACAGACAAGACCCAACTCAATGTTACATATTAGCAACAAAATAATTCTCAGGTCACATACCTCCCTCTCTACATTTTTAGGGATTGGGGAGATTAGTAATACTGACTTCTTATTTCCAACTTTGGCAATCAAACTAATACTTTCAGTGAAGCCTAACACAAAATCGTTCAAAACAATTTTCCACCAAAATAAACCATTAGGAATTTGCTGGTACAAAACTGATACTGGTATGAGTTTCAAATTCCTTTCTACATCAGAAATCCTATCTTAATTATACGAATCATATGATAACCTAGAATTATGCTAAAACATGAAAAAACACACTTTACAGTACAATTATGATTCATTTGCGGCAGAAAATCAGAAGCCATCATAAATGCCAAGAACTGAAGGATTTGTACACTAGAATGCTAGAGTACTCCAAACATTCCCTGATTTCGAAAAATTCAATATGATGAAGCATTGAATCAAAGTGTATAAAATTAAAAGTCCACTTCATCATACAATACCATGGAATTCAATTGACTGACCATCAAATACTTATCAAGATCACTTTTCATTCAAATTCATCAGATATCACCAATCTTCCTCATAAATTTAAAGGCCTCTTAAAAACATTATAGTGCAAAAAAGTCAGAAGCAATAGACACTCCAAAGTTCCATATTTATAGGCTTATAACAATATGCAACTAAGCTTTACATTGAAAACAAAGTCTCCAAAATCACAGGCCTCTACAGATACCCATCTGGACATACTTGGGATTTCCTCAGAGACAAATTGCCAAAAGTTCCATGGGGTGAACTAATTTGGTTCTGAAACTCCATACCCAAGCACAGTTTTGTAGCTTGGTTAGTCATTATTAACAGTCTTTCTACAAGGTCTAGACAAAAGAAATGGACTCCAACTGTTGATTACAAGTGTGTATTCTGGCACAGAGTTCCTGAGACAAGGCATCACCTCTTTTCTCCAGTACATACTCATCTCAAATAATGTAGGGATGTTTCACTAAATGCAGGTATCCCTAGGTCAACATTAGTACCATCTTGGCTTTGTCCTCATTTGAAGCGCAAGGCACTTCTTAGTATTCTCATTAAATTAGCCTGGACTGCCACTCTTTACCTATTTCTGGATGGAGAGCTCCCACCAACGTATTCAGGACCGGAAGATGTCATCATTTCAGACGTTCAAAAATAGATGTCTCAGACAGAGTACTCAGATTTGCAAGGCAGAAAGCCTCTCCTATGTCCCTAAATGTAGCATCTAGAGATTTTCATGCAAAATGACCAAGAATAACAAAGCAAAACAAAAGATCTGTTCAGCCAAAATCAAATGCAGGAAAAATTTCCCAAAATCACCAAGAACATAGGGTTAACATTTGCTACAACACAACAAATCACAAATTAGACCCAACAGCTAAAAAAGAACCAAAAATTTAAAGATTTTATATAACTCCAAACAAATCATAATGCAGAATTCATATGAACCCATAAACAATAATGGATAAACAAAAAGAAAAAAAAGAGGAGCAAAAATTTTACCTAGCATGAATGATCTTGACGCTGGTTTTCATGGGTTTAGACCAGTTGTAGGCGATCAAACCCGTGACACTGCTAAGCCATAAACATCCTTTGATATCAAAATGCAACAAAATCAAGATCCAAATCCAGAAAAATAAAAAATTACAAGAACAAACCAATAAAAAAAAAAAAAGAAAAAGAAAGAGAAAAAAGAGAAATTACCAACAGTTTTAAGCTTGTGCTCAACCACCCATTCCCTCACTGATTCCATTTTTGTCTTGAATTCAGCCATTTTTGAGAGAGAAAAAGAAATGATCTTTTTTTATTTTTTTTGGGTACAGAGAAGAAATAAGGCTTTTGGAAGAAAAATGAAGACAGATTCCATTTTATAGGTGTTGAAGAAGCGTGGAGGAAAAAAACTAAAGCGAAAAACTGTGGGCGGACAAAAACCATCCGTGGACAATAACCGCGGACTGGTCCTACCCCTTTTTAAGTTTGAACCATACTAGATCTTGACACGTGGCCGGTGTCTTAAGAATCTGGTTAGAGTTTTTTTTTTTTTGAAAATGTTTTACTTTTTTTTTACGAGTGTGGTTATATTATTAATTTTTTGTTTAATTTATTTATAATATTATATTTATTTATTTAATAATA